ACTGGAAAGTGCCATGAGATGACATGTGTTGTGAATTTGGCGCTATAGAAATAAACTGAATTGAATTGAATTCTATGTATTTTACATAAGTTTTAGGAAATCTACAGTATTACTGGTTTAGGCTGCGGCTTAAGTCTTACTAGGAAGAAAATGAGCAGAAAACTGGGTTGCTTGATTTTTCTGGATTGGATTTGGAGATGGATTTAATTTATCATTAATGATTTACTCCTAGATGTCCATGACAACAGACCTTAAAACTACTAATGAAAAATAGAATTAAAAATGCAGAGAAAGCCATGAAATACACCAAGAACATAAATCATTTTTATACAAGGGATTGTTTCCATCTTAATAACAAATATTTGAAGATTATTTTGTTTTGTCAACAATATACCAGGAGTTCTTACCAGCCAGTAAAAGGATTATAAAACAATTTCTTGCCGCATAAAGTCACCAACTCTCGCCAGAGGAAATGAAGGGATTGTTCTATGAACAAAGCACAGAAAATATATTATAATCTTAACGATCTAAAACTGACAGAACCTTTTGAATTTACATCAATAAATGAATAAAATCCAAACCATCAAAAGAAAAGAAGCTTTTTCACTGCTGTAGCTCCGAATTATAACATTATATCAGAATCTTAGGCAGAGAAATATGTTATTGGAAAATGTTGTGATGACAATAATATCAGTAAATATCAAGATAAAGATCTGAGTGGGGGTAAGCATTTCTAGCATTGCTTATTGTTATCTGGATAAATCATGATAAGAATTGTGATCAATCATCTAAACGATAAATTACAATCAATGATAAATTAATAACTTCAGAAATCAGGTGAATTGTTAATTTAATAATAATTTATTTTTACTATTTTCCTTCTTTTTCTTTCATTTTTTCCATTGCAAAATTGACAAATTTTAAGAATATGATTAGATGCTTTTACTATAAGATGTTATATAAATCATACTACTTGATCTAACTGGAGATGATTGTCTTTTATTACATGTGTTGTTTTTATTTAAATGTGTTATTTGTGAGTATCGGGCTATGATTGCTGCTGTAGCAGTCACAGTCATACAGGACTTATTTTCAGTTAACGCAAAAATATCTAATATCTTGATAAGATTTTAATTGCATATTGCCATGCCCTGGATATCCGCCTCCTTTTTTCTCCTTTCTTCTCTCTCCTATATATGATTCTGTCCATTTGTGACCTTTAGCATTCAGGGAAATGCCATTTATTTGTTTCAGCTGGCTAGCTATTAATAAGCACGTAATTAAAAAGTTAATAACACTTGGGATATAAACCCCATTTTCCCTTTTGAAATTGTGCAAAGGACGGTTCAAACATAGGTTGATAAAACAGACTAAATGTGAGATTAAATGTGTAATTTAGTCTGGCGCCGATGAATGAGACATTGGAAGATTGATGATGAGAGCAACCCGTTGTTTTTCAAACTATGTCTGTGCCTACTGGCCAACGCTCTGACCGATGAGAGCAACTGACTGTGACTTAATAAGCGCAACAGAAAGCTGGTGGGGGAGTGGAAACAAACAGCCTGTTGGTAAAACGGTGAATACGACCTTCTTAAAACTCAAACAGTGGGGCGATTGTTCTTTTGCCGTCGCTGTTCCCAGACTGTGGAACAAACTACCCCCTGACATCCGCACCATTACTGACCTCAGCCTTTTTAAAAAAAGCTTAAAACCCACTTTTTTAAATTAGCTTTTAATTCTGACTATAATACTGTCTCCTAGATGTCCTCTTTCTGTGTGCTCCTTTCTATGCACCTCTGGAAGGCTTTTAATGTCCTGCAGCACTGCACCACTACAGCACTTTTAATTGTATCTGTATGTTTTTATATGTGTTATGTATTGTTTTATGGCTTTGTTGTAAAGCACTTTGGGTACCATTTGGCTATTGTAAAGGGCTATACAAATAAATTTGATTTGATTTAAAAACGAATGAGCGTAGAGCCGCTTCCTGCTCACGTTTCAACGAAAACCCCAAGTCTAATCCTTCCAAAACTGATTCCAAAGCTGACTCAAAAATCGCCATCACAGCCAGCGG